AAGCAAAACAATGAATCCCACTTTTCACTTCAGATCATCTTTAGTTTTAAAAAGCCCCTGTGGTCTTCTGTCAGCTATTGTAAAGGCATTCAACATTGTCGCTTGTTTAAACGTCTGTTTGGCTGCCAACAGACTGTCCCCAAAAGAACATTTTTGCATCTCAATAGACTGTCCGGTATCAACAATCTTTAAACTATAAATTTAACGCTGCTAAAGACAGGAAGAAATAGTGTTTGCTTTGTACTGTGCTGGTATCGCATTTACAAAATGAACAAATAATCAGACCACTTCTACTTATCTAGCACTCCTCATCATAGGGTCTCAAATGGCCTGACAAACGTTAATTAACTAAACTGCACAGCACTCCTGTGAGGAAGGTAAGCGGTGGGAGCCTCCAGGCCACAGACAACAGAGGTCCTGAGAGGCTCTTCTTTTGACAGTCAGTGGCTCAACTTGGAATTCAACTCCCAGAACTTGGAACTCAACTCCCCAGGCCTAGGGCTGAACTTGTCTTGGAAGCCAAGTTGTGCAAAACAGATGTTCAAACTGACAAACTCTCCTATATACATGTTTGCTATAAACCAAAATCAAACTCAAGGAGACTGACCTTTCTTCTAGGTGCATGAGAAAAAGTGGTCTAATAACTACATCACTGGAACCTATAGTCTTTGAATTACCTATGACATTCTGTTGTAACAAGTATTGTTTTCCTGAATGTTGATTTGTCATAAGCTCGCCCTGCAGATTTACCTGGTAAATGTAATTATACTTCTGCATGTTATTAACAAATAAAAAATGCCTTTGATGTTGGCAAAATTTTATGAAATTGAATGAATGATGTTTATACTCCTTATTAATGTGGTTATCTGAAAAAGAGACAAAGCTTTCTGCATTATAAAATCTAATCTAAAAATTCCATTCCAAGAATAAAAACCCACAATTTCTTACCCAGGAAATACAAGATGAATACACTGGCATCTGCATAAGAGTTTATCTAAAAGATAAATAACTAAATAAATGCCTTTGTGTAAATATACAGAGGAAGCCAATCAGAAAAAAGGAACACAGCTGTATGTGACTCCTGACTACACCACACTATCTAGTTTAAAATGAGAAAGAAACATCTTTTGGAATAAAAGAAACTAACTGGCATACTTTTAGCACAGACAATATTAAATATGCTAATCTCTTCACAGAGCCAAACTTTACATCGAAATAAAGATACTGGGTTTTCAAAATATTAAATTATGGTGACCATTTTCAGAATCTTGCTCACGGTTATAAGATATTCTAGAAGTTTTAAGAGTATAAAGTTTTCATATAAACTTGAACTATTTCTAGCAAAGATTCTAAAGGCTTTAATATTTAATAAAATACCCAATGATTTTATAGAAATATTGCGTGGTTAACATGAAACAAAGAGCCTAATTTTCCTAAACAATTCATAACAGAAAGCCTATGCTAATGTGTTCTTGGTCATACTCAAAGCATAATGGTCAGCACAGATGATATACACAACCTAAAATTCTTATAAGAAGATTAATTTCATACTAATAACAAGGAAGAAAACCAGACATTCACTAAATGAAAGTATACAAAAATAATCTGACATTGAAGACAAAATTGAAAGCCAAATACTACCCCAATATGGGCAATAAATAAATAAAGAGAAAACTCATGCTAATGAAGGGAACAGTTTGAATGTTTAACTCTGCTTGTGATACTTGTACTTCCTTCCTTACTTTGAGGCATACAGCAAATCTGTATTACTAAAACCAGTAAAAAACTATGTATCAGAAAGACTAATATTCTGAAAGCGACATTATTAGTGTGCTTTGTGTCACAACCCTAACTACATTCAGTCTGTTCTTTAAAAAGACATCCCTTATTTACCAGCAGAGTGGTGAACTATTTTAAATCAACATTTTCTGTTGGTCAAATTTTTTCAGTTAATTCTTGATATCCCTCTGTATAGTATTTAAAGATGATTGTCCAGTTTCTAATCTTAGCATTGGAAACTATATGTATGAATACATTTATGAATATACAACATACTTGCTCTACTAATGCTATATTGAATGCACTATTTAATAAAAAATTCACTTTTAGAATCTGATGTTCACCAGTTGCTAAATTGCTTACGGTATTGCATGCCAAACAACAAGGTAGTTAATTTCAAGGTCCATTCTATTGTTTAAACTCAACTATGAATATTCAATTCCATCCTGTAAATATACTTATTTACATGGACTACTATATTTTCATTCAAAGCATGTAAATTATACTTGAAAATTTATATTGTATATTTATAAATTATTACAGGACACTTTCACTAATAACCAGACCTTTACAACTACAAAGCTAAAGTACATTATTTTTTGCTTTTAATAAACATGAAGATGAGATTTTGCTGTTTTTTTTTTTTTTATCTGATGGTTGAATGATGAATTGAGAAGGGTAAGCTTGTTATGGTCACTTGGAAATACAATTTATAACACTAAAATAGAATTTCTTCCAAATTCTCAATCAGAACAGGCTTGGTTTTTTTCATTGTTAGGTATCTTAAGAACTTTATCAGAAATTAGCCAGGTGCGGTAACGTGCGCCTGTAGTTCCAGCTACTTGGAAGGCTGAAGCGGAAGGATCGCCGGAGCCTAGCAGGTCGAGGCTGCGGTGGCCGGGAGAGCAGCCACTGCACTCCAGTCTGGGGGACAGAGTGAGACTCCAACTCAAAAAAAAAAAAAGGAAGCTTATCAGCTAAAATGTATACATTCAAATTTTTACATTAATTTTAAAATTAATTTCATATTAACTTTTGTTAATTATATTTAGCTAAAAAGCTAAATGTTGCATGATCAACTAAATTGGCTTCTCTTCCTACTCCAAATAACTTATAAATTGGTGATTTCCAAAAGCACAATTCAAATACAAAATTTAAATTTTAAAGATTCAAATTTTATTACAATCACAGAAGAGTGATTCAAGGCTCTTCCCTGTATGTGTGTGTGTGTGTGTGCACGCGCGTGTGAGTGCTTGTGAACATACATATACATATATTTAATTTTGTCAACTCTCTGAAATTTAATAAGTGAAAGCCTTTAAAGATAATAAATCATACAGTTAGGAATCTGGCTATTCATTGTAGAATGTGGCTAAGGAGTCTCTCAATGAAGATTTCCTACTTCAGCAGCTGATGTGGGGGAACTGAAAAGACAGTTGAAATGATGCAATAGAAACTTGAAGTCAGGGAATTAAGGAAGTGGAAGATTTGAGAAAAACAATTTTTTAGAAAAGTATTATCAACCCCAGTCTGCTAAAAAAAAAAATGTAACTACCATGTTCAGATTTGGGATGTCACAACTTAATAAATTATTTGTCCTTTCAAATTCTTCAAGTATACAAATGGTGGCAGAAAAGGTAATATTTTAGGAACAGTCCACAAGAATTAAATGATTTGGCATCAAATAAAAACATTACAGATGAAAACAACTTTAAGTAAAAAAAAAAAAAAAAAAGAAAGAAAGAAAGAAAAGGGGCCCTGGTGATACAGATATAAGGCACCCAAGTTAGACCACACTCTCAAGACACAGTATGACCCAACAAAACGTAAGACATTTTATTTCTGCCTTATAACCAGAAGCCAAGTGTCACCAGAGGCCAGTGGAATCCGGACATGCTAAGAAAACAATGCGTGCCTACTATTATGAAAACACAGCTCCATATATATTCACTTGAAGGAAGCTCCTTCAATTGAAACCCTCCTGGAGGGCCCAGGAACTGTTCTTTTCTTTCCAAAGTTACTCATAATAATTTGTTTCTTTCCTGCTGGAAGGAGTCTTTGTTTTAGGGTGTACAGGGGCAGTCCCTCTTCTGTATTCAAGCCTTTCTCTTAGCTCCAGGGCACAACTACAGATAGAAAAGGTAACAGCTTTTATAATTAACTGTGCACCTCTGAGGGGCATTTTTCAACTCCATCAGAGAATACTGAGAAGCACAGACAGGTTTCAGAGAACCTAAAGGAAGCGAGAGCAGAGCAGTCAGGCCAACACTGGGAATAGCATTTTGCCTCCAGTGTACATCCAGAAAGACCTCATGAGTGCCTGACCTGCAGGTCTGAGCACTGGACTGACTGAACTCTGTTTCCTAACTGGATCTTTACAAAGGTGAGATAGTCTCTGATCCTACTTGCTATGCATGAACAAAGCTTCAGAATCATCCAGAAAGCTAAAAACTTTCACAGACTTAAGGTGAGATTTCCAAGAGGTGGTGCCTCAGGCAAAAATAGTAAATATCACTTATTAGGAGCTTGTGAATTTTCAAAACCTTTTCTTAGCAATTCTGAGTCTACATAAAATGAAGAGAGCACCGAGGACCTTGTCTTACTCAGAATGTGGTTTTGCCTTTCCACGCAGGACCATGAGTCTCTCCCTAAGCCAGTGTCTCTCCCTAAGCCATCCTGATATTAGAAAATGCACAGTATGCTTCTTTGGATGCTTGACACACTTTGGCTTTCTCATTTATTCCCCCTCATCTTGGCCACTAAGCAGCAACAAGTATTGTCACGTATACACAATTATACTGTGAATTTTAACAAACACTACTTAACTAAACATCCCACCAGGACACGACATTCTCTGCTTGCTTCCTTAGGAGTCGGATCCCGTGTCACACCAGCTTCAAATGCAAAGGCATTTAGTTATTGTAATAGAACAGATGCACATCACCTGGGATTTGAAAGCTTCCTTCTCCAAGTGCAGTCTTGTTGTTCTGCATAATCACCAGGAATGATTAACCCACATTCACTCTGAGCTGAGAGCGAAGACAAGCAAGTGACAGCCTAGCCCCGTAGCAAGGAAGGGTTCTGTCCACACAAATACACAACAGCAACTTTCTGCCACTTTGGCCTTGTACGAATAGATTCCCACTGATACGGACCACGAAGTTTTACTTCGTAAAACCTCATGCCTGAACAGAGAGCATGTGTGTTTCCCCCTCTTCCCTTCAAGTTGAATGAATGATGTAAAAATTAAACCTTCCTACCCGTAACAGAGACTGGGATTCATCCTTGGACTTGCTCTCTCCCGAGGCAGGATACTGCTGGGTGAGGGCCCCCGCCTTCTCTCCACCGGCAGTCACTCCTTGCAGGAATCCCTTGGTTTCCACAGCCAAGCCATAAATAGGTCGTGCCAGGTGGGCAGCTTCTACATTGGGGCTATCCCTCAGAGTCTTGGTCTGTTCCTGGGTGCCGGACACCGGCGACAGCAGCCCCAGGCTGGCTGGAGTGTAGGACGGACTGCCCCGCAGGATGTCGGCCCCTCTCCACGTCACGTTGCGAAGGTCATCATTGGAACTCTCCGTCCACACCTTGTCCTTGAGCCCGTCCTTGTCCTCCAGCTTCTCTCTCTTCACCACGCTCTCGGAAGCTGGTTCTCCCATTTTAGAGTCTGGGTTGAGCAGACTGTAGACCTTGAGGTCCATCTTGGGCTCCTCCTTGATGGCAGACCCAGCATGAGCGTCCTCGTCGCCGTTGGCCGTGGCGCTGTCCTGGTCCCGGCAGTGGACGGTGTTGAAGTGCTCCAGTAGCGATTGCGTGTCGGCCGCCGTGAAGCTGCACTGACGGCATTTGTAGCAGCTGTGCGCTCTCCTGGAGAGGAAGAACACAGGCATTGCAGTCAGTCTTCCGAGGGGCTGGGCTTTCTAACAGCCCTTGAGCACCTGAGTTTTAGTTCATGCGATGCAGTGGTGAGAACGAAATGCACTATTCACAACACCCAGACTGGGATGTAATTAACTGGCATTCTCAAGTCTACAGTAAAGATACGAAGTCTCTTCTTGTTATATGAGCAGTAACAGGCATAAATACACACACATGCACATGCACACACACGTGCTTGTGTGCACACCTTCCAATGATTAGCATTACAACTGGCTGGTGTGCAGCATTACCAGCCGACCGGCTCTGTTCATTTTACCGGCATGGATAATCATTAATGATATTGTTCAAGCCGATATTCTTATAGTTTTGCACCTCATTTCATCAATGCCCATTTTTAACATCTTGTTATTTAAATTAAATTTTATATTTGTTCTCCTATAAATACACTTACATTTCTAATACTCCAGTGCTTTGTACAGCTTTTCCATATATTAAAAGAAACTAAATAAAATGTTCTCTTCTATCATCAAATTTAAATACATGTAGTGAATTAAATATGGCTTGTTGATCTACATAATCTAGAAAATAAGATGTATTAAAAACCCAATATTTTTCTAGACAAATTCTATCCATCTCGAGGAACATACACACATTCAATAAACTTAGTGTCTGTTGAGTGTCAAACAGCATGACAGATGCTCTATGAATGCTTTTATTAAAAGGGTGTGTGTGTGTGTGTGTGTGTGTGTGTGTGTGTGTGTGTGTGTGTGTTCTTTTTTTTACGACATAAACAAGGCAATCTTATTGTCAAATTTTATAGCACCTTCTTCTGTTAAAGAGAGAAGAGCAACTGCTATATTAGGACAAATGCTGGATAACATAAAAGAACAGAGGTACTGCACTGTAAAAAGCATTCCAGAAACATACACAAATAGTTTGGAAGAAGGCATTCTTTCTTTAACTATAAGATCCTTGTATGACTCCAAATAAATACCATGTGAAACATTTCCTACTTCCCTGACATAACTTATTATGAATTACCAACATAAAGTTTTGTGAGCGATTACTAAAATGCTACTGTAAGACACATACTCATATATGTGTGAGTATATATGCATCAAAACATTTCTTTGCAAGGCTCTGGGTACTTGTTGGTGAATAAAAGATACATGGTCCTTGCTTACCTGGTGATAACAGTCTAGTCAGGAATGACAAACTTCACATAAAAACTATAAATAAATCTGTCAGTATAGAGTGATATGTGCTAAGAGGGAAATGGATAGCATGGTCATGGGGGGAAGGAGGACTGCTTAGGGTGGTCAGGAAGAACTTTCTGAGTGAGATTTACAAAAATCAAAGGATGAAAATCAACTATCCTAAGAGGAGAAAGAAGGGGAAATAAAGCATATTCTAGCAAATATGAGATACTGAAAAGAGGCTGTTGTGTCTTTACAGGAAGAAATAAGAGGAAGAATGTTAATCAACAAGCTGGAAGGGCCATGGAGCTCTGTAGGTTACGACAGGGAGGGGAGACATCCTCAAAGAAAAAGGGGAGTCTTACACAGAGAAATTGATGGTCAAACATATGTTAATAACTTTCGGACTGTAACTGTTTCTGTATCAATAACTTCATCCCCTCACATGACATGTCTGATGGGTGAAATTCCAAAAGACCATTCCTATGTTACGGAAGCAAAATTCAAAGGTATTAGACATGTAACAAAATCTCAACAAGAATACTTAATATTGAGTCCACAACTAAAAACTTACATTTGGTTCAATAAGCATGAATAGTTAATTTTACTTTCTGCTAAAGACTGCTTTCAATCTTTTCTCCTATTTCTTCATTGCTTAAGTAGTAAAGATAAATACAACAAATGACAAATAATCTGAGGATAAATTGGTCTTAAAATTCAATACTAAAATTAATTTTCCAAGGTGGATATAGTCTAACCCTTAAGATGAGGATGTCTATGACCTATGAATCTTACCACCAATGTCAATGCCAGAAAATCCAAAAACAAGGTAAATATCACAAAGGACAATAGACAAGACCTAAAACCTAGGTCCTAAAGCCCTGGGGACTTTATCCAAAGAACATTCTTACCTAAACCATATTCTAGTATGAATGAGAAATAAGCTCTCAAATCCAAAAGATTATTGAAGACATTCTACATAAACTACTGAATAATGACAAAAATAAATAAACAAATAAGCAAAGGAACTTCTGGAAGCACATTAGCAAGTTCTGATTGACTTTCACTCCAAGAAGGGTATAATCAACTCAATGCCCACATAGCAGCCAGTCTGTGATTCCTCGACATAGTAAGATCTCTACTTGAAATCTCTAATGGGATCCCTGCCTTTAAATTAAGACTATAAATTGCTTCTGACACTTCACCAAAACTGATGGTCCTCATGCAAAAATTCCAAAGGATTATAGTGATTCTATTTCAAGAAGTAAAAACTATAAATACTGGAGTACAAGAAAGAGAAAGTATCAAAACACTTACTCTTTCCAAATACTAAATTCTAGAGCACCACAGAGAAAAATTGATTTTAAAATGATAGATTCTCGGTTCTCAGAAGCTATTTAGCACAAATGAGAGTGTAGACTCTTGAATCAAAATGCTTGAGTTTCACTCTTGGCTCTGTATTTTACTATGTACGTAACTTGGAATAATTTACTAGCCCTATCTCAATTTCTTCATTTGCAAAATGAAAATAAGAGTGCTCTTGACATGGTTCTTGTGAATATTAAGTAAATAACACTTGTAGTCAGTAAAAAAAAATACTGATAGTTAACCAGTATACATCCTCAAATTAAATAAAAACCCCTCTGGTCTACTCGAACCTGTTTTCTGCTCTCTTTCTACAAAAAGAGTTCAAGCTTAAAAACTACGCTTATCATTCTTTTCCATTCTCTCGCATACCTCAACCATGGCAAACAGCATTTTAAAACTTGAGCTTACTTCCTAGAACAGCTTTGCTGTAGGACACCGCAAGGTGGAATCTATTCTACGCCTTTCTGCCTCATCTAGCAGTGTTCAATGAGCTGCAAGACACTACAGTTTAGCACTTCACAGCTTAATTGTCAAGCTTTACTCACTTTTCATTAACAGTAGTCAGATACAGCATCTTAAGAGTCTGAATATCAAAAACAATAAGGAATTTCCTTGTGTTTTCTTTTTCTTTTTTTTTTTTTTGAGTTGGAGTCTCACTGTCTTCCAGACTGGAGTGCAGTGGCTGCTCCCGGCCACTGCAGCCTCGACCTGCTGGGCTCCAGCGATCCTTTCACCTCAGCCTTCTAAGTAGCTGGAACTACAGGCGCACGCTACCACACCCGGCTAATTTTTCGATTTATTGTAGAGATGAGGTCTCGCCTGCCCAGGCTTTCTTAAAGTCTTGGGAGTTGGGGGATGTTTCGTGAATGTATTCTTTAAAGCTGTTCAGAACATGACATATCTAGTAATATGTCTAAATAATTAAGATTACGTAGCTTTGATATCTGCTTAGACTGTGAGCTAGGAATATTCTTGGGTCACCCATTCCCCTTCACCAAATAATGATGAACACATCCAACCCTCACCTAGTACTTCCTCCCAAACACACAAGGTCCTGGGTCCCTGCCCAGAAAATGAGTTCATCAGAAAGTGTCACACCCTGAGACAAGGCGTCTGAGTCTTCTTGGTTTTCTAGTTTGAAGTTCCCCTCTCAGTGGACAACTCCCTGATTCCTGACAGGTCTCAGTAAGAGTTGCTCTGACCTGACTCACAGAGAGGTCTTGATCGCAAGGACCCAGGCAAAATGGCCTACAGTACAGGTGCTAAGGACCTTTCCAAAGGTTGAGGCAGAAGTACAGCACAAAGGAGACCAAGGTCGCAGGGGTAAGTGTTCAGTGAGAACCAGATTTTACGTTGAAAAGAAAAATACATCTTAACAGGAAGAACATTAAAATCAGACTTTAAAAACAAGCTCAATTCACACATCTTTTCTTTTGAAAGTTCAAAGCACCCAAGTTCATAGAATATCTCACATTCCACTGATGTATAAGGCCCATTATACAGGTAGTAAAATGGAGAAATAGTGTCTTGCCCATTTAGTCTACATCAAGTCAAGAATACAGGACTTCACAGTCAGGTGCAGTGGCTCATGCCCATAATCCCAGCACTTTGGGAGGCTGAGGTGGGAGTATCGCTTGAGGCCAGAGTTCAAGACCAGCCTCGAAAACATAGTGACACTCTTTCTCCCCATTCTCTACATATAATTTAAGGGGGAAAAAAGAATACAGGGCTTCTGACTCCCAAATCAATGCTTTTCTTCTTCTTTTTCCCTGTTGCCAACATTTTAACTCTATACAAAAACAAATGAATTGCAAAATGAAAACAGGGGGGATGGAAAAGGCCTTCTAACAGATAGAAAAAGGGACTGACTACAACAATGGTTTGTAAAACAGGCTGGGCAGCATTGCAACTTAAGGAGTCTCTAAGCAACACGGATTCCAAGTCCTCCTTGCCCTCCTGAACTGGAATGTCCGGGGCACAACCTGAGAGTGTAAATTTTTAATGAAGTCCTCAGGTAACACCAATGCAGGGACCATTACCTATAAATCATATTACTAGATACATCACGATTCTAAACAACTTAATAAATAAACGTACAACAAGACTTCTCTCACATCCCAATACTTTAAAAAAACACAGATGATGCCCTTACTGTCCTTGCTATTCTGAATCTTAAGGATCTGGGTCTGACTGCTATTAACGAAAAGAGAGTAAAGTTTGACATTTAAGCAGTAAACTGCTAAACTGCTCAATCTTTCAGGTCATTGAGCACCACTAAGTGAAGCAGAAAAGGCAATTTGCTACAAAGTACTCTTGAGACCCTAAGAACTCCTTTCACTTTGTATTATCAACCCTAAATAAGTGATAGAAAACATATTAAAAAGTCAACCTTAGAGTCAAAAAGCCTGGGGCAATACACAATTT